CACCTGACACTCCGTGTTCACCCACGCTCACCTGACACTCCCTACTCCTACGCGCTCACCTGACACTCCTTACTCCCAGGTGCTCGCCTGAGACTCCCTACTCTCCTTCGCTCACCTGACACTCCCTACTCCGAAACGTTCACCTGAGACTCCGTACTCCCATGCGCTCACCTGACACTCCATACTTCCCCGGTCTCACATGACACTCCCTACTCCCCCGCGCTCATCTGACATTCTCTACTCCCAGGCGCTTAGCTGACACTCCATACTCCCAGGCGTTCATTTGACACTCCCTACTCCCCTACCTTCACCTGACACTCCCTACTCCCCCACGCTCAACTGACACTTTCTACTCCCAATCGTTCACCTGAGAATCTCTACTGCCATGCGCTCACCTGACAATTCCTACTCCAAGGCGCTTACCTGGGACTCCCTACTCCCATGCATTCACCTGAGACTCCCCACTTCCCTGCGCTCACCTGACACTCCCTAGTCCCCCACGCTAACCTGACACTTCATACTCCTCCGGGCTCAGCTGACGCAGCGCGATGGGAGTAGGGAGTGTCAGGTGAGCGACGGGAAGTAGGGAGTGGCAGGTGAGCGCGGGGAGTAGGGAGTGTCAGGTGAGTTCCTGGGAATAGGGAGTGTCAGGTGAGCCCCTAGTAGTAGGGAATCTCAGGTGAGCGCCTGCAAATAGGGTGTCAGGTGAGTGCCTAGGAATAGGGAGTCTCAGGTGAGTGCCTTGGAGTAAGGGGTGTCGGTGAGCGCGGGGAAGTAGGGAATGTCAGGAGAGCGCGTGGGAATATTGAGCGTAAGGTGAGCGCGGGGGAGAAGGAAATGTCAGGTGAGCGCCTGGGAGTAGGGAGTGTCAGGTGAGCACCTGGTAGTAGGGAGTATCAGGTGTGCCCGGGGGAGTAAAAAGTGTCAGGTTAGCGCAGGGGAGTAGGGAGTCACAGGTGAGCGGCTGAGAGTAAGGAGTGTCAGGTGAGCGATGGGGAATAGGGAGTGTCAGGTGAATGTTGGGGACTAGGGAGTATCAGATGAGCGCGGGAGAGTACGGAGTATAAGGTGAGCCCCTGAGAGTAGGGTGCATCAGGTGAGCGCAGGGTAGTAGGGAGTGTAAGGTGAGCACAGGAGAAATAGGTAGTGTCTGGTGAGCGCTGGTGAGTAGGGAGTGATCTGGTGAGCGCAGGAGAGCATAGAGTTTCAGGGTGAGTGCGAGGAAGGTGGCCGTGTCATGTGAACGCCTGGGAGTAGGGAGTGTCAGGTAAGCGCGGGGAAGTAGGGAGTGTAACCTCACACTCCTTATTTCCAGGCACTCATCTGAGGACCTCCAAACTCCCAGGCGCTTCTCTGTTACCCACCCTATTCCCCTAGTTGCTCCTCTCCTCGGCTACCGACACTCCATAGTCTCCGCGCTCACCTGACACTCCCTATTCCCCCGCAAACGCCATCCTATCACCGCGCTCACCACATTCCCTGTTTTCCCCCGCGCTCATCTGACACTCCCTACTCCTAGGCACTCACCAGACACTCCCTACTCCCAGGCGCTCACCTGATACTCCCTACTTCTCCTCGCTTACCTGCACTCCCTACTCCCCTGAGCTCACCTGACACTCCCTACTCCTCCGCGCTCACCTGACACTCTCTACTTCCCCGCATTCACCTGACACTCCCTATTCCCCCACGCTAACCTGACACTCCATACTCACCCGCGCTCACCTGACATTCCCTGCTCCCAAACGCTCACCTTGACTCGCTACTCCCTGGCACTCACCTGACACTCCCACTCCCAAGCGCTCACTGATACTATACCCCTAGCTACCGACACTCCTACTCCAGCGCTCACCTTACCTTCCTACTCTCCGGCTCACCTGACTCTCCTTGCTCCAGGCTTCACCTGGGACTAGCTGGATTCCAGGCGAGTGGAGAGTAGAATGTCAAGGCAGGCATGGAAGTAGGAATTCTCCCGTGAGCGCCTGGGAGTTGGAAGTGTCAGGTGCACGTGGGGAGTAAGGAGGAAAGAGTGTCATTTGAGCACGTGGGAGTAGGGAGTGTCAGGTGAGTGTGGGGGAGTAAGAAATGTCAAAAGAAGGCAGACGAATAGGAAGTGTCAGGTGAGCGCCTGGGAGGAGAGAGTGCCAGGTGAGTGCCTGAGAGTAGGGAGTGTAAGGAGAGCGCCTGGAATAAGGAGTGTCAGGCGAGCCCCTGGGAGTAGGGAGTGTCAGGTGAGCCCCTGGGAGTACTGAGCGTCAGGTGAGTGCAGAGAAGTAGGGGGTATCAGGTTAGCGCTGGTGAGTAGGTAGTGTCTGGCAATGGCGAGGAAGTAGGGAGTTTCAGGTGAGCGTGAGGGAGTAGGGAGTGTCAGTTGAGCGCGGAAGAGTAGGGAGTGTCAGGTGAACTCTGGGGAGTAGGGAGTGTTAGGTGAGCACTGGAGAGTAGGAATTGTCAGGTGAGGGGCTGGGAGTAGGGAGTGTCAGGTGGGCGTAAGGAGTAAGGAGTGTCATTTGAGCACGTGGGAGTAGGGAGTGTCAGGTGAGTGCGAGGGAGTTGGGAATGTCAGGTGAAGGGAGGGGAATAGGGAGTGTCAGGTGAGCGCCTGGGAGTAGGGAGTGTCAGGTGAGCGCATGGGAGTAGGGAGTGCCAGGTGAGCGCCTGGGAGTAGGGAGTGTAAGGAGAGCGCCTGGAATAAGGAGTATCAGGCGAACCCCTGGGAGTAGGGAGTGTCAGGTTAGCGCTAGTGAGTAGGTAGTGTCAGGTATGGGCGTGGTAGTAGGGAGTGTCAGGTGAGTTCCTGGGAATAGGGAGCGTCAGGTGAGCCCCTAGTAGTAAGGAATCTCAATTGAGCGCCTGCAAATAGGGTGTCAGGTGGGTGCCTAGGAGTAGGGAGTCTCAGGTGAGTGCCTTGGTGTAAGGGGTGTCGGTGAGCGCGGGGAAGTAGGGAATGTCAGGAGAGCGCGGGGAAATATTGAGTGTAAGGTGAGCGCGGGGGGGAAGGAAATGTCAGGTGAGTGCCTGGGAGTAGGGAGTGTCAGGTGAGCACCTGGTAGTAGTTAGTGTCAGGTGTCCCCGGGGGAGTAAAAAGTGTCAGGTGAGCGCAGGGGAGTAGGGAGTCACAGGTGAGCGGCTGAGAGTAAGGAGTGTCAGGTGAGGGATGGGGAATAGGGAGTGTCAGGTGATTGTTGAGGAGTAGGGAGTATCAGATGAGCGCGGGAGAGTACGGAGTATAAGGTGAGCCCCTGAGAGTAGGGTGCATCAGGTGAGCGCAGGGTAGTAGGGAGTGTCAGGTGAGCACAGGAGAAATAGGTAGTGTCTGGTGAATAGGGAGTGTCTGGTAGCGCAGGGCATAGATTCAGGGAGTGCGGGGAGTGGGGAGTGTCTGGTGAGCGCCTGGGAGCAGTGAGTGTCAGGTAAGCGCGGGGAAGTAGGGAGTGTAACTTCACACTCCTTATTTCCAGGAACTCATCTGAGACTCCCTACTCCCAGGCGCTCACCTGACACTCCCTATTCCTAGGCGCTCACCTGACACTCCAAACTCCCAGGCGCTCTCTTGACACACCCTATTACCCCGTGCTCTCCTGACACTCCAAAGTCTCCCGGGCTCACCTAACACTCCCTATTCCCCCGAGCTCAACTGACACTCCCTACTCCTAGGCACTCACCTGATACTCCCTACTTCTCCTCGCTTACCTGCACTCCCTACTTACCTGAGCTCACCTGACACTTCCTACTCCTCCACGCTCACCTGACCTCTCTACTTCCCGCGTTCACCTGACATTTCCATTCCCCCACACTACCTACGCTCCATACTCACCGCGTTTCACCTGACATTCCCCTGCTCCAACACTCACCTGACTAGTACTCCTGCACTCACCTGACACTCCTTACTCCCACGCGCTCACCTTACACTTCCTACGCTCCCGCTTCACCTGACTCTCCTTGCTCCCAGGCACTCACCTGAGACTCCGTATTCCCTGGCGCTCACCTTACTCTCCGTACTCCCAGGCTCTCACCTGACACTCACTACTCCCAGTCACTCACCTGACACTCCCTACTCCCAGGAACTCTCCTGACACTGGCCTGGTCACAGACCGGGCCGCGGGGGCGTTGACCCCCGGAACTCTCTCCAGGTAAACTCCAGGTAAACACTGCCTACTCTCCCGCAAGGTGAGTGGTGCAACTTTCCCTATAAATTTATGTTTCATTTTATTTTTTGTATATGGAGAATCTGGCAGAGTTGGGTCGAAATATACACATCTATCAGTCTCCTGTGTTTCTGTCTCTCTATGTGGCTGTACTGAGTATTCAAAATGTGTTTTCATTGCATTTTATGTATATATATATATATATATAATTATATTATTATATATTATTATATATATATATACATTATATATATATACTATATATATATTATATATATTATATATCCTAAACATATTTAGACCAAATTAACTTAGAAATCTCTACCAATCTTCACTTAAATTAACGTAATTTCTTTTTACCTAAATTCTGACACTTTTATCTTTGTTACATAAAATTTCAATTGTTTATAATTCTAAATTATAATGACTTATATTTTTTTTGTTTATGTTCAAATTGATATTCGCCAAATACTGTGCATGTGTAGTGAGACTAAAGTATAAGTGGCAAGATGTAGTTGTTATCTTGTTTGTGAGAAAGAAGATGACACTACCAATCCTACCTGAGAAGACAATACACGTATATTGATTACTGGTCAGTGTTTGGGTTCCTTAATCCCTTAAGACTGATAAGGAAAACATGATTTAACTTTTGTTTTTGTAATTAATCTTCACTATGGGAGAGTTATCTATTCCCTGTTTATATTTCTTGTATCGTAGTTTATCCTCTAAATAAATAAACAATTATTTTTACAGTTTTTACAATTTTCCTCATAACAAATTTTATTTTTACTGAAAAATTAAATATGCTGAAAGCCTTTAGTTTGTTAGAAAAAAAAAAGAAAACTATTTGCTAACCTAGTATAGATACTGCAGATATGATGCCTCCAATGAGAGAGAATGCTATTGGTATTGGTGACATGGTTCTGCCTCCCAGTAAGTAGTCCAGTGACGAGCTGCTGCCCGACTCTTGTGAGCTCCGTACACACCGAGACCCACCGACGTGACCAACATGATGCTGAAGATAGTGTAATCTACCACTGTTAACTTCGGCTTCAGGAACTCATCACCAACTGCCGTTGGCTCCTCCAAAGACATTTCCTGCAGACAATGGTAAAATAACATTGATATCTGTGTCACATATTAAGTTACATAAATATTATTACCAAGACATGTCAGTTAACTGTCCGCTGCAGGTACATCAGTCACTGCTTCCGAGGACACCCTAAGACTAATATTTTCCTTTCGACAACATCCCAGAAATGCTCACACTCGCACAATTGCCACAGAAACCAGGAACTACAACCATCCTCTCTCATGAAGCCTCCACTTCCCATCTGTCTGTATTTCCTACATAATTAATAAATTTATTTTGGAAAGATAAATTCATAAGTGTAATATATCATTATGAATTGAGGAATGAGGTAAATAGGTTTGATCAAAGAAACGAGAGATAAGTTTAAAATTACTTAGATCACGATCCTTACACCACCATCATGGCACTTCCATGAAAAGTGTTCTCCCTCATTAAGGTTGAAGCCATTAGAATATAAATTATCAAGTTATCAGCATTGAAAGGTGAAGACAATTAAGTGAGACACCTGTGCAACATTTGGGTATCTTTATTCTGGAAATATTTCGCCAGCCAGTGGCTTCATCAATTGAAGGTTATCAGTCCCTCAACCTGGAGTCGAGGTGCTCAGTCCATCAGTCTTGATAAATGTGCAACATTTAAGAGGATCAGGGGCTTATATACTGCAGGAAGGTGAGGTGAAGCAGTGGAAGGCGGCGTCACGAGTGAAAAACTTCCCTAATGGAAGTAGGTCACACTTATTGGTTGCAGCAAACTTTAACGAATTTCCTACATCATTCTGATTCAATGACACATTCCAGTCTTTCGAGTTTATGAAAAAAAATGACAAATTGGGACCAAGACAGAAAAAAATTAATTCAAATTTCTCTCTAAATAAGATCTGCTAGCGTTTAAGGTTTAAATAAGTATTTTTCTTGTGTGTGAGTAATTAAGTATGATTTATTAAATGAGCATTATATGGATCTAACCTAGAATATTCCAGTCAAGTCAAACACTGATCAGAAGATAAGAAGAGACATTCTCAGATTATATAACAGAAATCAATGGGATTAATAATATTAGCACATTAAAACTTACACGACATTAAACACTATAAGTTTAACAGATCATAATTAGACCGTCTTTGTCACTGATAGCTAATAATTACATGCTGAATCAAATTCATTGATATATGAGTAATTTTACCTTGTAAATTTATAAAATTTGCTCATATGGAATGCTCATTTTGTGTTTTCTGTTCATTTCAGTTGAACGCAAATGTGTTTTATGGATCAAGGGCTCAAAGAAGAAGAGATTACATCGTGCCAGAGTTACATGATGACAGTGACCCTAATGAGGAAGTGGATTCTGGAGATGATTATGAGCCACAGGCAGATGATGCTTCTTAAAGTGAAGATGAACATGAAGATTTGTCTAAGAGAAGTGGGCAAGTTAATGTAAAACGAAGAAATGTACGAAAACAAGCAGTTAAAGATGACGAGGTTGAGGTAGATGAAACAACTGTCAACAACACTAATGCCACCTGGAGCAAACTTGACATACATACTCCATTACCTGACTACAAACATGAGGTACCAACACATATCAAGGAACCATTTCAATATTTTTGTGAATTATTTACTGCAGAAATGTTAGAAAGCCTTGTATTTAACACAAACTTGTATGCAACACAGAAAGATGTTAATACTAACTTCAACACCACTAGTGAAGAGCTTTTGCAATTTGTTGGAATTCTGATATTCATGAGTATGGACACTCTGCCTTCTTTAGAGGATTACTGGTCCCATTATCATTGTCATCCTGATATTACAACTGTTATGACATCTAGAAGGTTTAGGTCACTAAGGACAGCTATTCATATAAATGATAATTCCAAGGCAATAGCTGACAGGTTCCATAAAGTAAGACCACTGTTTGAAGGTCTAAGAAAAGCATGCCTAACAGTTCCAGGTATACCAAAGCAATCAGTTGATGAGGTAATGGTGGGATATAAGGGAACAAGAGCAGGAAATCTCAGGCAATATATCAGGACCAAGCCTGATAAATGGGGATTTAAACTTTTTTGCCGGGCCAGCGATGATGGATTTATACATGACATAATGATGTATCAAGGTCAAACAACATTTGATTATCACAGTGTTAGCCTAACAAAGGAGAAGAAAATGCCTATAAGTTCCAAGGTTGTTATTTGCCTTGCAAAGACTATGGACCACACAAAGATCAGAGCAATTTATGCAGATAACTTCTTTACCAGTTTGCCTCTAGTGAAATATCTGCTTGCTACATTCAATTGCAGGTACACAGGCACTGCATGGGACAGCAGAATTGGAAAACCATCACTTATGTCTGTCAATGACATGGAAAAAACAAAGGTGAAAAGGAGTGCTATGGATTACTGTTCATTGGATGGTGTCCTTGCTGTACGTTGGAAAGACAGTAAGATTGTTACTTTACTGACTAATGATATTGGCATCAACCCAGTGACAAAGATAAAGAGGTACAGCAAGGAGCTCAAAAAAAAGTTGGAAGTTGACTGTCCTGCAGTGATAAAGAATTATAATGCCCATATGGGGGGCATAGATAAGAATGATATGTTGGTGCATCTCTACAAGTCTCCACTCAAAGCAAAATGCTGGTACATGAGGCTCTTCAGATATATCATTGATCTTTGTTGTGTCAATGGCTGGTTGTTGTACAGGCGTGACTGTGGTGTTTTGAAATAGAAATACATGAACTTCAAGGAATTTCGGTTTTCCATCTCCCATTCTGCAAGAAAGTCAACCAATGGAATCCCAAGGAGCCTGAGATCTCCAAGTTGTTTTCACTTCACGGTCTTCTTGCACGTTGATGACATTCCCAATCGGCATCGAAAAAGGTCTCATGATACAATATTTGATGAAACACAAAAACACTGGCCAGTTTCTGCAAAGAGGCTTTCATGTAAACATTGCAACACCAAGAACAAGAGGAACCTACTCTTCCTTTGCTTGTTCCTTCTGCAAGGTTAATTTATGTCTAAATTCAATGAGGAATTGTTTCCTGGAATTCCATAAGCAACAAGATGCTTAAATTTCTCTGATAATATTTTTGTAACATTTTTTCAATTTTTTATAAAATGTCAATTACTAAAAATGTCTTAAATTTATTGAAATCAAGTTTCTGTGCCTTTTGTTTACCCAAGTTGTTTATGAATAAACCTTAAATGTATATTTATGCCTTTAATTATCAGTTATAGCAGCTGTTATGATTCTTTTAGACAAATGCCTTTGTCAGGCTTGCATCAAATTTGATGCCTGATCTGTCACCTACAGTTTAACCATTGTCAGGCGGTGCCTCATATTTGATGCGGCTAAAAAGGGCATTTTATGGCCCAAAAATAAATAAACTCAAAAAATGATCACAAATAAATATGTCTTAGAATTGTATATATTGTCACAATATAGGTTGCAATTGTTGCATCTGCTCAAATATGAGGCACGCCTCATATTTGAGGGTTATCCATGGTTATATGATGCCTTCATTGGCCATTTCTTATCACCATTGTCAGGTCGGGCCTCAATATTGATACAAAAATGGTAAGTGATAATCTACCATTGTCAGGCCAGACCTCAATATTGATACAAAAACAGTAAGTGATAATCTAACATTGTCAGGCCGGCCTCAATATTGATACCAAAAAGGTAAACAAAACTTCAAGTGCATTTATTTGTTACTTCTCAATGCCTCAGGCAATTCATTTACATCTCAAAATGAAGTTTAAACATTCAATAATGCACTGGAAACATATTCAGAAACTTATCGACATTCGGGAGTGGTGTAAATTGGTGAAATATCGGGAGAGTGAGGGTCGAAATGCTGCTCCTTCAACAAGTCAAGCGGTACTGAACACTCAAGGAGCTCCCAGCCAATAGCAGAGGACAATACCCAAGTGATGCCACCTTCAAGCTCTGCCCAAAAGGTGTGTGATTGGCTGGATTGAGGCGAGAAGTCTCTGGGAGCATATGCTCTGTGTCTATTGCACCATGAAAACCATACTTTTGGTGCCTCAATATTGAGGCACCGTGCAGTAAAGGGTTTAAAGCCGACCAGAGGAAGCATTCTCCAGTTAAAGTACAGAATTCAACAAAATGCACACCTACACAGCCTAAAACCAGAAATATCTTTATTCATCTTTTAAGATAATTCATCCATTACATTTTGGATTTTAATGATGGGAAATCATTAAACCCGTAGGGGTCATACAGCACCTCTGAAATAAGATGCATTTAGATTCAATTCAAGGAAAAGGAAGACAAGTCAGGTTTCTTGCATCAAAAGTCTCTCTCTACCGTCAAGGAAAAATAATGCAATAAAGTGAAATAAAATTATTACATTTAGATATTAAACTATCATAACGTCACCTACACACTCCATTAACAATATCAACCTCATGTGAATGATATTAAACTATAATAACGTCACCTACACACTCCATTAACAATACCAACCTTATGTGAATGATTTTAAACAATCATAACATCACCTACACACTCAGTTAACAATATCAACCTTATGTGAATGATACTTAACTATCATAACGTCACCTACACACTCCATTAACAATATCAACCTTATGTGAATGATACTTAACTATCATAACGTCACCTACACACTCCATTAACAATATCAACCTTATGTGAATGATATTAAACTATCATAACGTCACCTACACACTCCATTAACAATATCAACCTTATGTGAATGATATTAAACTATCATAACGTCACCTACACACTCCATTAACAACATCAACTTTACGTGAATGATATTAAACTATCATAACGTCACCTACACACTCCATTAACAATATCAACTTTACGAGAATGATATTAAACTAGCATAACGTCACCTACACACTCCGTTAACAATATCAACTTTACGAGAATGATATTAAACAATCATAACGTCACCTACACACTCCATTAAGAATATCAACTTTACGAGAATGATATTAAACAATCATAACGTC